TATAAATAGTATTTATGAAAATTCACATTTAATACAAACCTTCAGAGATGTTCAAATGTAAAACTAAAAAAGTAGCTGTAGAGAGAGGAGCTTGTTTGTCTAAGCACCTGCAGGGCAGAGCAAGAGCAATTCCTAAAACCTAATGATGATTTTACCTTTACTATGTATAAACTGCCATTTGTGGCAAAAGAGAATACATGTGGAATTACTGAATATTTTGTGGGGTGGGGAAAAATAAGAAACCATCTTATCACCTTTGGTTTTAGACATGGCTTCATAATATGTCACAAAGCTACCATCTGTAAGAGCAGTTAGTCTCTTTGAATCAGGTTAGAATTTCTAAGGGCAGTCTTCACTTTTAGTGGATCATTAAGTGTTTCTTTGGAGATACTTCCAGGTTTGGGGGTGTATTAGGCTGTCAAGATGAATATCAATGAGAAAATGGAGAGGTAGTAAGGCTCTGCTAATACTCTCCTGGTCAAAATGCTGTGGACACCTGAGAAAAAAAGTAGATTACTTTGATCCAGTAAAATGGCAAACAAGAAGTGAGTGTGTGGACTGTAGGGAGATGCACAGAGCTGGCAGGGATTTGAAAGAAGCCAGCTCTAAACCACAGATATACAACAAGAAAGCCATTTTCTGAAATAAGAGTCCCTTTAACGAGCTACCACCAAGGCCCTAACCAGATGTGTTCCCAGCCTCTGAAACTTTTCAGTGGGGGAACTGGCAGCAGCAGGAGCAACACCCTGTGGTACTGCCCCATCACCCAGCAGCCTGGCAGAGTCCAAGCTGACCAGAGAGGTGGCTCCCCGGAGAGGCCCAAGACCCGAGGTAACCACACACACAAGGCACTAGTGGCAAACTGAGTAGTCACTGAGGTAGCCATACCAAATTGGCAACCCCAGCAACATCTTAGTCAGGCAATACTGTCAAACCTGTGGACTGTGAAATCCCTTACCACAATGAATAAACATCAAAGAAAAGACACCAGAAACACGAAAAATCAAGAAAGTACACCATCCAAAGATAATAAATCTCAAGCTCTAGATGCTATAGAACAAGAAGCCCTTGAAATGACTGACAAGGAATCTCGAGTGATAATTCTAAGGAAATTGAATGAGATACAAGAAAACTCAGCTAGACATCATGATGAAATGAGGAAAAGTATACAGGACCTGAAAGAGGAAATGTACAAGGAAATCAATTACCTGAAAAACAATGTAGCAGAACTTGCCGAACTGAAGAAGCTATTCAGCGAAATAAAAAACACAACGGAGA